TTGGGGACACAGGTGGCACTCACGTGTGACACGGAGGGCCACAGCAGGGCCAGGCAGGGTTAAGGAAGGGCTGGGGATGGTTTGGGGACACTGGGGACAGCTGAAGGGGTTTGGGGACACTGGTGGCACTCACGTGTGACACGGGTGGCCGCTGCAGGGCCAGGCAGGGTTGGGAAGGGTTGGGGACAGCTGAGGGTATTTGGGGACACTGGTGGCACTCACGTGTGACACGGGGGGCCGCTGCAGGGCCAGGCAGGGTTGGGGACAGCTGAGGGTATTTGGGGACACTGGCGGCACTCACGGGTGACACGGGGGGCCGCGGCAGGGCCAGGCAGGGTTGGGGACAGCTGAGGGTATTTGGGGACACTGGTGGCACTCACGTGTGACACGGGGGGCCGCTGCAGGGCCAGGCAGGGTTGGGGACAGCTGAGGGGGTTTGGGGACACTGGTGGCACTCACGTGTGACACGGGGGGCCGCTGCAGGGCCAGGCAGGGTTGGGGACAGCTGAGGGGGTTTGGGGACACTGGTGGCACTCACGTGTGACACGGGGGGCCGCTGCAGGGCCAGGCACGGGGCACGGCCACCGTAGGTGTCCCCCTTGAGGGTGAAGGTGGCCAGCTGGCCCTCGGCGCTGAGCAGGACCCCGAAGGGATCGGCCACGGCGCAGTGCACGATGGGGGAGCCCAGGTCCACGGGGACAAAGTGCAGCTGGGTCACTGTGGGGACAGCACTGTCACCAGGGGGTCACAGCAGTGTCACACCCCCTGTGTGACCCCAAACCCACGGGGACAAAGTGCAGCTGGGTCACTGTGGGGACAGCACTGTCACCAGGGGGTCACAGCAGTGTCACAGCACTGTCACACCCCCTGTGTGAGCCCAAACCCACGGGGACAAAGTGCAGCTGGGTCACTGTGGGGGGACAGCAGTGTCACCAGGGGGTCACAGCACTGTCACACCCCCTGTGTGACCCCAAAACCACGGGGACAAAGGGCAGCTGGGTCACTGTGGGGGGACAGCAGTGTCACCAGGGGTCACAGCCCCCCTGTGTCACCCCAGATCCATGAGGACAAAGTGCAGCGCGCTCACTGTGTGGACAGGAGTGTCACCAGGGGGTCACAGCACTGTCACACCCCCTGTGTCACCCCAGATCCATGAGGACAAAGTGCAGCGGGCTCACTGTGTGGACAGCAGTGTCACCAGGGGGTCACAGCAGTGTCACAGCAGTGTCACAGCAATGTCACCCCCGAGGTCACCCTGTGTCACTGCAGGGGACACGATGCACGATGTCACCTCAGGGTCACCTGTGTCACCCCAAATGTCACCTCACCAGCAGGAACCCCCCAGTGTCACCCCCCAGTATCACCTGCTGCTGTCACCTGTCACTCACCAGCTCAGGAGCCACCTGGAGGCGCCACCCTGGTGTCACCCCCGGTGCCACCTCTGCGGGTACCACCCCCCTGGTGCCACACCTGGGGACACCTGGGCACCCATGGGAGCCCCTGATGTCACTGCAGGTGTCCCCAGCTGTGTCCCTGTCCCAGGTGTGTCCCAGGTTGTCCCCAGGTGTGTCCCTGTCCCCAGGTGTGTCCCCAGTGTCACTCACCGCCCTGCAGCAGCCGCAGCCCCAGCGGGGACACCTGCACGATGAACTGGCCCTGGCCCAGGTTCCCGGCGAACACGGTCGGGCCCTGCGTGGCGAAGCCGCTCGTGTCCAGCTCCAGGATCTCCTGGCCCGTCTGCAGGATCTGGGGACACCGGGGACACCGGGGACATTGGGGACATCAGGGGACATGGCACCCACGGAACCACAAAAACATGGGTGCTGTCCCCAAGGAGGGACATGGGGGGGACACTGGGCAGGGCCAGCCCCCAGGCCAGCCCCAAATCCAGGTCACTGCCCCTGAGGGGACATCGGGGACATCAGGGGACACGGCACCCACGGAGCCACCAGAACATGGGTTCTGTCCCCAGGGAGGGACATGGGGACAATGAGGGGACATTAGACAGGGCCAGCACCCAGGCCAGCCCGAAATCCAGGTCACTGTCCCTTGGGGACACTGGGGACATCATGGACATCAGGGGACATGGGGACATTAGGGCATGGCAGCCATGGAGCTCCCAGAACATGGGTGCTGTCCCCAAGCTAGGACATGGGGACAATGAGGGGACAGCAGGCAGGGCCAGCCCCCAGGTCAGCCCCAAATCCAGGTCACTGCCCCCTGAGGGGACATCAGGGGACATGGCACCAACAGAGTCACCAGAACATGGGTGCTGTCCTCAGGGAGGGGCATGGGGACAATGAGGGGACACCAGGCAGGGCCAGCCCCCAGGTCAGCCCCAAATCCAGGTCACTGTCCCTTGGGGGGACACTGGGGACATCAGGGACATCCAGGGACACTGGGGACATGGCAATCAGAGCCACCAGGACATGGGTGCTGTCCCCAGGGAAGGACATGGGGACAATGAGGGGACATTGTGGGCAGTGAAGCCCTGGATGTGGCACCAAGGCAGTCCCCGTGGCACCATCCCCATGATGTCCCCTGACCCTCACCTTGGTGAGGTGGCATCTCCATGGCTCAGGATGAGGAAACATGGGGACACAGGGGGACATGGGGACACAGGGGGACAGAAGGACATGGGGGGACATGGGGACACAGGGGCTCATGGTGGGAGAAAAGAAGACGTGGGGGGACAGGGGGACACAGGTGGGGACAGGGGGACATGGAGACACAGTAGGGGACAGAAGGACATGGGGGGACATGGGGACATGGGACACGCAGGGACATGGGGACAACAGGGGATAGGAGAAGACACAGAGGGGGCAGTGACACAGGGACAGTAAACATGGGGACAGGAGGGGACACAGGGACAGGGATGGGGCAGTGACACAGGGAGGGTGACATGGGGACACGAGGAGACACAGGGACATGGTGACACAGGAGGGTGACACGGGGACATGAGGAGACACAGGGACATGGTGACAGAGGAGGTGACACGGGGACATGAGGAGACACAGGGACAGAGATGGGGACAGTGACACAGGGAGGGTGACACAGGGACACAGTGACACAGGTGACACAGGGAGGGTGACATGGGGACACAGTGACACAGGGACACAGTGACACAGGGGGATGACGGATGACAGGGGACGACACAAGGGGTGACACAGGGACACAGTGACATGGGGATGACACAGGGACACAGGGGGGCGACATGGGGACATAGTGACACGGATACAGGTGACACAGGGGACACGGGGAGGGTGACACAGGTGACATGGGGACACAGTGACACAGGGGGGTGACATGGGGGGACACAGTGATACAGGGAGGTGACACAGGGACACAGGGGGTGACACAGGTGACACAGGGACCCACCTGTTCCCGCGGGGGGGGCGCGGTGACCGTCCACATGTCGTAACAGCCGGGCAGCTCGAAGGTGGTGACAACCTGCGGCCGGATGCTGCGCTGGGGACAGGGACACCGTCAGGGACAGTGATGGGGACAGGGACCCCGTCAGGGACAGGGGACGGGGACAGGGATGGGGACAGGGACAGGGACAGGGATGGGGACAGGGACAGGGGACAGGGACAGGGACAGCGATGGGGACAGGGACAGGGGACAGGGACAGGGACAGCGATGGGGACAGGGACAGGGGACAGGGACAGGGACAGCGATGGGGACAGGGACAGGGGACAGGGACAGGGACAGCGATGGGGACAGGGACAGGGGACAGGGACAGGGACAGCGATGGGGACAGGGACAGGGGACAGGGACAGGGACAGTGATGGGGACAGGGGCAGGGGACAGGGACACCGTCAGGGATAGGGGACAGCGATGGGGACAGGGACAGGGGACAGAAATGGGGACAGGGACAGTGATGGGGACAGGGACAGGGTCAGGGGACAGGGACACTGTCAGGGACCAGGGACAGGGACACCGTCAGGGACAGGGGACAGGGACAGGGACAGCGATGGGGACAGGGACATGGGGATAGGGACAGGGGGCAGGGACTGGGTCAGCGCTGGGGACAGGGACACTGTCAGGGACAGGGGACAGCAATGGGGACAGGGACAGGGGACAGTGATGGGGACAGGAATGGGGACAGAGGACAAGGATGGGGACAGGGACAGGGGACAGGGACACGGTCAGGGGACAGGGACACTGTCGGGGACAGGGAAAGCAGTCAGAGGGGACAGTGGTCACGGGACGGTTTCAGCTTTATGGGGGGTATCCCTCAGTTTTGGGGTGTCCCTGGGGGATACAGGCGGGTTTTGGGGTACCCCATGGATTTTCCAGGGACAGGGACACCGTCAGGGACAGGGGACAGGGACAGGGACAGCGATGGGGACAGGGACATGGGGATAGGGACAGGGGGCAGGGACTGGGTCAGCGCTGGGGACAGGGACACTGTCAGGGACAGGGGACAGCAATGGGGACAGGGACAGGGGACAGTGATGGGGACAGGAATGGGGACAGAGGACAAGGATGGGGACAGGGACAGGGGACAGGGACACGGTCAAGGGACAGGGACAGCGATGGGGACAGGGACACAGTCAGGGGACAGGGAATGGGGACAGGGACAGCGATGGGGACAGGGACACAGTCAGGGGACAGGGACACTGTCAGGGACAGGGGCAGCAGTCAGAGGGGACAGTCGTCACGGGACGGTTTCAGCTTTATGGGGGGTATCCCTCAGTTTTGGGGTGTCCCTGGGGGATACAGGCGGGTTTTGGGGTAACCCATGGATTTTGGGGTGTACCCCACAGGTTTTGGGGTGTCCAGGTGGGTTTTGGGGTACCCCACAGTTTTGGGGTGTCCCTGTGGGATACAGGCAGGTTTTGGGGTGTCCCTGTGGGATACAGGCGGGTTTTGGGGTGTACCCCACAGTTTTGGGGTGTCCCTGGGGGATACAGGTGGGTTTTGGGGTGTACCCCAGAGTTTTGGGGTGTCCCTGGGGGATACAGGCAGGTTTTGGGGTGTACCCCACAGTTTTGGGGTGTCCCTGGGGGATACAGGCGCCCCCCAGACTTTGGGGTCACCCTGGTTCACCCCAGTCCTGCTCTGGCACCGGGATCGGCCCCCCGGGAACCTCCCGCGGGGGGACTCAGCGGTGCGGGGGAAGGGCGTGGGGTCTGGGGGGGTTTGGGGTTTTAGGGGGGTTTTGGGGTTTTTGGGGTTCAGGGAGGTTTGGGGTTCAGGGGGATTTGGGGTTGAGGGAGGTTTGGGGTTTTTGGTGTTCAGAGGGGCATCTGTGGGGTTTAGGGTGTTTTGGGGTTTGAGGGGTTTTGGAGTAGTTTGGGGTTTGGGGGTTCAGGGGGGTTTCTGGGGTTTTGGGGTTCAGGGGCATTTGGGGTTCAGGGAGATTTGGGGATGAGGGACATTTTGGAGTTTTGGAGGTTCAGAGGGATTTGGGGTTCAGGGGGGGTTGTGGGGTCCAGGAGAGTTTTGGGGTTTTTGGGGTTCAAGGCAGGTTTGGGGTTTTGGAGTTCAGGGTGTGTTTGGGGTTTCTGGGTCCCTGCAGCACGGTGAGAGCCCCGTTCTTGCCGTACCCCGAGCACAGGCAGGGTTTGGGGTCCCAGGGCTGGTTTTGGGGTCAGGTTTGGGGTTTTTGGGGTCCCAGGGCTGGTTTTGGTATCAGGTTTGGGGTTTTTGGGGTCCCAGGGCTGTTTTTGGGGTGTGTTTGGGGTTTTTGGGGTCAGGTTTGGGGTTTCTGGGTACCTGCAGCACGGTCAGTGCCCCATTCTTGCCGTACCCCGAGCACAGGCAGGGTTTGGGGTTATGGGATTTTTGGGGTGTATTTAGGGGTTTTAGGGTCCCAGGGCTGTTTTTGGGGTGTGTTTGGGGTTTTTGGGGTCAGGTTTGGGGTCAGCTGTGGGGTCAGGTATAGGGACAGGTATAGGGACAGGTATAGGGACAGGTATAGGGACAGGTATAGGGACAGGTATAGGGACAGGTATAGGGACAGGTATAGGGACAGGTATAGGGACAGGTATAGGGACAGGTATAGGGACAGGTATAGGGACAGGTATAGGGACAGGTATAGGGACAGGTATAGGGACAGGTATAGGGACAGGTATAGGGACAGGTATAGGGACAGGTATAGGGACAGGTATAGGGACAGGTATAGGGACAGGTATAGGGACAGGTATAGGGACAGGTATAGGGACAGGTATAGGGACAGGTATAGGGACAGGTATAGGGACAGGTATAGGGACAGGTATAGGGACAGGTATAGGGACAGGTATAGGGACAGGTATAGGGACAGGTATAGGGACAGGTATAGGGACAGGTATAGGGACAGGTATAGGGACAGGTATAGGGACAGGTATAGGGACAGGTATAGGGACAGGTATAGGGACAGGTATAGGGACAGGTATAGGGACAGGTATAGGGACAGGTATAGGGACAGGTATAGGGACAGGTATAGGGACAGGTATAGGGACAGGTATAGGGACAGGTATAGGGACAGGTATAGGGACAGGTATAGGGACAGGTATAGGGACAGGTATAGGGACAGGTATAGGGACAGGTATAGGGACAGGTATAGGGACAGGTATAGGGACAGGTATAGGGACAGGTATAGGGACAGGTATAGGGACAGGTATAGGGACAGGTATAGGGACAGGTATAGGGACAGGTATAGGGACAGGTATAGGGACAGGTATAGGGACAGGTATAGGGACAGGTATAGGGACAGGTATAGGGACAGGTATAGGGACAGGTATAGGGACAGGTATAGGGACAGGTATAGGGACAGGTATAGGGACAGGTATAGGGACAGGTATAGGGACAGGTATAGGGACAGGTATAGGGACAGGTATAGGGACAGGTATAGGGACAGGTATAGGGACAGGTATAGGGACAGGTATAGGGACAGGTATAGGGACAGGTATAGGGACAGGTATAGGGACAGGTATAGGGACAGGTATAGGGACAGGTATAGGGACAGGTATAGGGACAGGTATAGGGACAGGTATAGGGACAGGTATAGGGACAGGTATAGGGACAGGTATAGGGACAGGTATAGGGTCAACTGTGGGGTCAGGATTGGGGTCAGCTGTGGGGTCAGGGGTGGGGTCAGCTTTGGGACCATATGGGGTCAGGATTGGGGTCAGGTTTGGGGTCATTTGGGGTGGGACAGGAAGGCCGGGTTTGGGGTCAGTTTTAGGGTGGATTTTAGGGTTTTTGGGGTGTTTTTGGGGTTTTTTCCCCCTCACCTCCTCGGACAGGAAGGCCGGCTCCCCCATGGCGGCGTTGGCGCAGGGCCCGATGTTGAGGATGCTGTCACACACCTGGCACGGGGACAGCGCCATCACACGGGGGGACACGGGACACAGGGAGGTGACAGAAGTGACACAGGTGACAGACAGCCGACAGGGAGGTGACAGGCAGGTGACACAGATGATACACAAGTGACACAGCTGACAGGGAGGTGACACAGGTGACAGTGACAGTACCATGAAGGAGCAGGTGACCAGCTGGGGCTCACAGAGAGGTGACAGAGGTGACAGTGGATGTGGCAGAGAGGTGACAGGGAGGTGACAGCACCTCAAAGGAGTATGTGGCCAGGCTGGGATCACAGGGAGGGGACAGACAGGTGACAGTGACAGGTGACAGGGAGGTGACAGTACCTTGAAGGAGTAGGTGGCCAGCTGGGGCTCACAGGGATGTGACAGGTGACAGTGACAGTGCCAGTACCTCGAAGGAGTATGTGGCCAGGCTGGGCTCACAGGGAGGTGACAGGGGCAGCTGGGGCTCACAGGGAGGGGACAGAGAGGTGACGAGGAGGTGACACAGGTGACACAGGTGACAGACAGGGGACAGACAGGTGACAATAACAGTATCTTGAAGAAGTAGGTGGTCAGCTGTGTGTGACAGGGAGGTGACACACAGATGACAGGGAGGTGACAGTGACAGTACGTTGAAGGAGCAGGTGGCCAGCTGGGGCTCACAGAGAGGTGACAGAGGTGACAGAGGTGACAGGGAGGTGACAGGTGACAGTACCTTGAAGGAGCAGGTGGCCAGCTGGGGCTGACAGGGAGGTGACAGGGAGGCGACATAGATTACAGGGAGGTGACAATGACAATACCTCACAGGTGGCCAGCTGGGGGTCACAGGGAGATGACACAGGTGACAGGTGACAGTGCCAGTACCTCTAAGGAGTATGTGGCCAGGTTGGGGTCACAGGGAGGTGACAGTGACAGGTGACAGGTGACAGTGCCAGTACCTCCAAGGAGTAGGTGGCCAGGTTGGGGTCACAGGGAGGGGACACAGAGGTGACAGAGGTGACAGGTGACAGTGCCAATACATCCAAGGAGTAGGTGGCCAGGCTGGGGTCACAGGGATGGGACAGGGAGGTGACAGAGGTGACAGTGACACGACCATGAAGGAGCAGGTGGCCAGCTGGGGCTCACAGAGAGGTGACAGGGAGGTGACGAGGAAGTGACACACAGGTGACAGGGAGGTGACAATGACAATACCTCACAGGTGGCCGGCTAGGGGTCACAGGGAGGTGACACAGGTGATGCAGGTGACAGGGGGGTGACACAGGCGACAGGTGACAGGGGGATGACACAGGTGACAGACAGGTGACAGTGACACGACCATGAAGGAGCAGGTGGCCAGCTGGGGCTCACAGAGAGGTGACAGGGAGGTGACGAGGAGGTGACACAGATGCCAGGGAGGTGACAATGACAATACTTCACTGGTGGCCGGCTAGGGGTCACAGGGAGGTGACACAGGTGATGCAGGTGACAGGGGGGTGACACAGGCGACAGACAGGTGACAGTGACAGTACCATGAAGGAGCAGGTGGCCAGCTGGGGCTCACAGGGAGGGGACAGAGAGGACAGAGGTGACAGGGAGGTGACAGGTGACAGTACCTTGAAGGAGCAGGTGGCCAGCTGGGGCTGACAGGGAGGTGACAGGGAGGCGACATAGATTACAGGGAGGTGACAATGACAATACCTCACAGGTGGCCAGCTGGGGGTCACAGGGAGATGACACAGGTGACAGGTGACAGTGCCAGTACCTCTAAGGAGTATGTGTTGGGGTGACAGGGAGGTGACACTGACAGGTGACAGGTGACAGTGCCAGTACCTCCAAGGAGTAGGTGGCCAGGTTGGGGTCACAGGGAGGGGACACAGAGGTGACAGAGGTGACAGGTGACAGTGCCAATACATCCAAGGAGTAGGTGGCCAGGCTGGGGTCACAGGGATGGGACAGGGAGGTGACAGAGGTGACAGTGACACGACCATGAAGGAGCAGGTGGCCAGCTGGGGCTCACAGAGAGGTGACAGGGAGGTGACGAGGAAGTGACACACAGGTGACAGGGAGGTGACAATGACAATACCTCACAGGTGGCCGGCTAGGGGTCACAGGGAGGTGACACAGGTGATGCAGGTGACAGGGGGGTGACACAGGCGACAGACAGGTGACAGTGACAGTACCATGAAGGAGCAGGTGGCCAGCTGGGGCTCACAGGGAGGGGACAGAGAGGTGACGAGGAGGTGACACAGGTGACACAGGTGACAGACAGGGGACAGACAGGTGACAATAACAGTATCTTGAAGAAGTAGGTGGTCAGCTGTGTGTGACAGGGAGGTGACACACAGATGACAGGGAGGTGACAGACAGGTGACAGTGACAGTACCTTGAAGGAGTAGGTGGCCAGGCTGGGGTCACAGGGAGGTGACAGACAGGTGACAGGTGACACACAGGTGACAGTACCTCGAAGGAGTAGGTGGCCAGCTGTG